CTTAATCATGATACAACAATTTAATTTTCCAACAATTCAGGGTAGGGGAACATTTATAAAAATATGTAGCATGAAACTACTCACCTGAAACCGAAATAATATAATCCTCGAATAGAGTGTAAAAGTCCAACTAGTGCCCTGAACCAAGTATAAAAACTACACGTCACAACTAATTTAAAAATACTAAAAAAATAGAAACTAAGTAACCTCAACTAAAGCACACTAACACGGCTCAACACAACTCACCGTTACTCTTAAATATTACCTAAGTTCATGTTCTTCAAGGTTTAAAATCACCCAAGACATGGGTTCCGGTCAAAACTTAATTAATTGTGACTTTAAGATAAAATAGAATTTCAAATAAGCCTTCCCAACCTATTCACTAACTTTGAAAATTACAAAACCCACTCCACGCTATTCCAAAAATTCCAATAACCTCCAGATATGATCTAATATATCATAAGTTTCAAACCCAATTAGTTTCACTTGATTTGCTTATCAAAATAATTATTTACAATTTATTATATCCAAACAGGTTGTTTTCTGTAGCACTTTAAAGAAATTGACGGTTCTCTTAATATATGAGAGAAATCAATGCAAGGCCAAAACTTTACGAAACTAGACTCGTAACCGGTTCTAATGACACTAATTTGATAATTTTTGGATTTATACCCAAAGAGAACAACACTCCGGAATTTACTGTTTCGGACAGGTTTCCTGGACAGATTTGAATATCTCAATTTATATGGATTTTGACTCCCAAAAATTATGAAAAAATTCAAATATACAATTCAGTATGTAATTAATCTACTGTAAAAATTTCAGTTTAAAATTCATCCGTTTGATATGATTTCTTCATTTTTAAACTCTATGGTTCTGCACAAAATTAATGTTTTACACATGAATGTTTGAGCCTTAAACATTATATCTAGACCTATACCAAACAAGGGCACCAGCCACTGTCAACAAAACACACAAAAGATAATGCCACATCTCTTCCACAATGAGACTCACACAACCACACAACACCTGTTCTTCCATCATTATTTCCCATGACCCAGGTTTGATATACTAGAATGTCCTTCGCACAAGCCCATAAATTACTAGATACCTCAATGAATAATCCTTGCGGTTTCACGAACTCAACTATGGAAGATAAAAAAAAAAAAAATAATAATAGAAGTGCAATTAAACAGTTTACTTACCCACAGTATTGATTACCCAGAGCCGAATGCTAAATTCCTCTTTCTCTCCTTGCTGTTCACCACAGCTTCGTTGCCTCTCTAACTAAATCTCATGGTTGCTGCTAGGAACCCTAAAGGGCTGTTGTTGTTTTGTAAAGTAATAAGAGAGTTAGGGTTTTGTAGGTTTTGTTTATATTTTATTTTATACTAGTGTTGGGCACACATAGGTCAAATAAATATATAAATATACAAAACATATATATAAGTTATATGCAACTCAATGGTAAGAACCTTATTTATTAATCTTGTGGTCTAAAGTTCAAGTCACACCTACTTCTCTATTTTATTTTATTTTATTTTATTTCTTTATAATAAATCTTGCCTCTAAATTAAAGACTTTCACCATAAATTTATTTAGGCTTAAAATTAATTAAAAGGCCCACCAAATATTTAGTTTGCATTTTAAGTTTTACCATCAAAATATTTGAGATTGTAATTTATTATTATTTAATTATTTACTTAATTTTTATATTCGGGTTCTCACATACGATCCTTAGGGATTGTTTTGGGAGAATTTTTGATTTGTCTTTGATGACTTACATAAAGAATATCCTAAAATGATTCTAAACTGAAAACCCATTGATTTACCTATCACTTTAAAAGCTGCTATAAGTTTCACTGATTGAAGGCTAATTTTTGATTATTTTGTTTGTATTACATGTATATCAAGCCAAGGGCTCATTTTGTATAGAGTTAGTACTCTTTTTTTTTGTAACCAAGTGTTGACTTGGAAAGTTGTAAACCCGTAGAGCATTTGCTTTTGTTGTTAACATGTAATACTGTTGTAAGAACTACTCTGATGAATAAAAATGTGTTGATTTCTCTTATATCTTGGCATGTTTAAAATGATGAATTTTATGTATTATTTTGAGGGCGCTACAGAGTTCAATCCTTTTAAACATAAGGGTGAACTAGATGGTCCAAATCCCCTAGTGTTCTAGTTATCTCCACGTTGAGTTCTTATATGGGCATTATGTTTGTGCAACTTGTTTGGCCTGTGTGCAGGATTGGGGGTCCTTGTTCAGTTCTGAATATTCAAAACTAATTTTATGTTTATTGCATTGCTCGCATTAATTCCTAGGGATGCAACTCGGGCAGGTTCGGTCGGGTTGAGAGGTTGTCCAAGCCCAACCCAAGTTGTGTTGAAATCTGCCCAAGCCCGCCCAAGTCCGAATTGTAACCCGAGGTTGCCTGCCCAAGCTCAACCCGAGTTAAACCTGAATTGCCGATTTTTTTTTTTTACAGCTACATTATTAAAATTTAACTCTATTTACATTTTTTTTATATATATAGAAAATCATTAATACCATTAAAACAAATAATTTATATAATGTAAGAGAGATGCCGTTATAGTAGTCTTTATAATTTATGAGTGAAAATAAAAATAAAAATAAAAAAGTAAGATTTTATGTTATTTATATATATAATATATATTCAACATGATTTAATAATCTAAATTACTTTAATATCATGTAATAGCTAATAATTTGTATATATATATATAATATTTTTATATAACTATATATTTATAATTCGGGTTTCGGGTTGCTCGGATTGTTTGATGTCTTTGTCCAAGCCAGGTCAAATTTAATTCGGACTTTCAAAATTTTTCCTAAATCCATACCGAATTTGAAAATATCTTGTCCAAATCCTAAAAAAATTCGAGCTGGATTCGGATTGCTCGGATTGAGTCCGTCCAAATTGCACTCCTAGTCTTACGCACGCAAAAAGAGGAAAAAAAAGAGTTGGTGTTTTAACGAAGATTGCATTTGAAGACGCATGCTCTTAATAAGAAATGACATATTCTGTATGTGAACTCTATCTTTACTTTTTTTTTTAGTATTAAATTACAATTCCATTGAGAAGAAAATTCATATCAACTTAAGAGTTTTTGTTGCATTATGCGAAAAATCACAAAATAAAAATTCTCAATTGACCCAACTAAACACAAAGGTTTCGTTTGTTCAAAAAGAAATATATTAAGTTTTTGTAATTAGCAATTTCATTTGACAAAACTCCTTTTACTTATAATTTTATTTACTCTTTTGTTTCTGTGAGGCTGTGAGCTAAATAGATGCGAATCCAACCCAAATTGTATCTGTGTAGAGGAGTTTATACTGACATTCCGTATCTTGAGCATTCCTTTTTGTCATTTCACTGACTGTGTACGGGGATCGAACTGAGAAGAAAGTCAAAGTGGTTTGTCCGCTCGAGCGGTCTTTACAGCTTTGTTTGGTATAAAATGCGCCGTTTGCTATTTTTAGGGTTTAATCCTTCCAGATTCTTAGAGATGAGTAAAATACAAAGTATTCTATATTGGAGAGTGGTTTATATGAGTTTTCTTGATGTATAGAAGGTGATTGATTGATCAATGAATCACATATTGATAAATATCAATGCTTGTTTTTACTATTTCATTCACAAAAGAGAGAGTTGTGCTTCGGTAGATGCTCGGGAACTTGGGCCTGAAGCTTTGGTGTATTCTGGAGTGGCTCATCGTTGTGGATTAGACATCGGCGTTGTGGATTCAAGTTGGACAAAATAATTCTGAGGTGAAGACCAGTACAAGAGGCACATCGGATTTGGTTCAATTTGGTCGTGGATTTGCTAAGTAATTGAGGGTAAAATCATGTGCAGTTTGTTTTTTGTCTTCTTACTGGATTCTTTTATGATTTTGGTGCTTTTGTTTTTGTTTTTGTTTTTTGTTTTTTGTTTTTTTTTTTATCACAATTGGAGGTTTTCTAATTGTGATTTTTTTTTTCACGTTAAATGGTTGTGCCGATTTGTTATTGATTGTTTGATTGTGATTGATATTCATTGATTAAAATTAAAACATAATCACGAATCAATATTTCAAGACTTTTTTAGATTTTCAACATGTATAATAGAAAATGAAAAATGGTAGAAAGTGAAGTGAAAGAAAAGAAGAAGAAATAGAAATTTATTTTTTTCCATGCATTTGAATAGATGAAAAATTTTGTAAAAAAATAATGATTGGTAAGGAGGAGGTAGAGATGGTATTAGAAAAATAGTGAGGGGATTAGAAATTTTTTTATTTTTTATATATTGGGAATTTTTTTTAAAAATATAATGTTTAATTTTTTATATTTTTTTATTTGTTTTATTATTTTATATAAAAATAATTGAACAATTCCTCACTATTAATCCCCTCACTATCAATTTCTTCACTAACAATTCCCTCATTATGAATTCTTTTCATTTTATCTCTGAAAACAAACGGGCCTTAAAGTGTAAGAGAATTTTGCAAGCGTTGCACGGATGTCACAAGGTAGAACATAATAGGATATCTATCTATCTAGGGCCGTGGGAAATGGAAAATGTGGTCCAACCTCTAAATAATTTAAAAAATGAGCTGTCTATTTTTATATTTATAATATTTCTTAAATTTTTTGTAGACAAATTTAATAAAATCATGAGTTATGATTATTAGGTCAATTTGATTTTTTTTTTTCTCCATACATGATCTATACTCATAGTTGAACAAAATAAACAGTTTAGATCGTTGAAGTGAGGCCTATAGTGGATCCCATGAGGCCCAACAATAACTTTGATAGAGAAATTCATCCCTTACGAAAAACTCTCTATTGATGGCGTGATATTTCCATAACTATCACTATTATTGTCATTATTGTTGTTTTAAAAAGTATTTCAAAATAAAATTAGATACATGTTAAAAAGTAAATTTTGAAGGATAAATCCAAAAGCCTATTTTTTATTTTTTGACAGTAGATAGAAAATTTTATTAGACCACTAAGGTCAACCAAGATGAAAATATTGGAGAGCTCTAGATGGGTAAAACCATCTTTCCACTCCTCTTAAACTTGATGCATGAAGGCTCCTTTCTTAGCTCATGCAATACTTTTCCAATAATTTGACCAAATCAAACATTAATAGGTGCCTATTATTTTCCTTTTTGTGAACTTGTACAACTGTTATTTGACTTTAATAGGTTACCCTAATGACCATGCATGACATTCCCATGACTATTTTTAATGGTAACTTTTCCCAACCTTTGCCTACAAAAAACCATAAAATCGTATCCTTCCATAATCACAAAGATCGAATCAAAATGGCTCTCTCCAAGATTTCACTAGCCATTGTTTCATTTGTGGCCTTGACCATGGCTCGTCTCTCCCAAGCCCAAAGCTCTCCACAAGACTTCCTTGCTGCTCACAATGCCGCTAGAGCACAAATCAGAGTCAAGCCTCTTACATGGAACAACACTGTAGCCGCCTATGCCGAAAACTATGCCAAATTGAGGAGTGCTGACTGCAACTTGGAACATTCAAATGGTCCATATGGCGAAAACATTGCAGAGAGTTCGGGCGAACTTACAGCGGTGCATGCGGTGAAGCTGTGGGTAGATGAGAAGCCAAAGTATTCCTACGGCTTGAATGCATGTATTGGTGAAGCTGCTGGTTGCCTGCATTACACTCAAGTTGTTTGGCGCAACACTGCTCAAATCGGCTGTGCTAGAGTTCAATGCCAGAATAAATGGTGGTTTGTCACTTGCAACTATTATCCACCGGGAAATTATTTGGGTCAACGTCCTTATTAGGATGCTTTTCTACCTAGAAATATGACGTTCTAGTGTCAATTGCTTGTGAGCCTTATGTTTCATAATCATGTTGTGATTGATGAATATGAAATATATATATATAACTGGCATCTTCCATGGAATGGAAGCTGTTGTTATTCTTTGATTAAATGTTTAAAGCTATTCATGCATTTTGGTTGAATGAACTGGTTGATCTCCAGTATGATAGTATTGTGTAACATATATTGGTTCAATTCATTTCCTGCACCATTAGGCTATCTCCAACCGTTCACCAAATCCATCATCAAATTCAACTTTGGTAAAAAAGAGGTACTTTTTGTGCTCCAATAGTTTCACCAAAACGGTATCAAATTGAGAAAATATCAAACATTTCACCAAGCTGAGGATGGCTTGCACTTTTCAGCAATTTACTGTGCATAGCCGTTGAGTTGGATCCCCCAGACGATCACCCGGATGTCCCCCCGGATGACTGCTGTACGACAAAAATTTGTGAAAATTTACTTTGGGTTGACCACCTCAGCATCTTTTTTAACTCTATTTCCATTTTTCCCTGAATCCATTTCCATTTTTCACTGATTGCTCATATAATTCATTATTACCCACAGCTGATGTTATTTTAAGGAGTGCATTATCCTATTTCGGGATATAAATGAACAAATTGAGTCGAGTTAAATAGTCAATTATTTAAGTTTAATTTAAAAATATAATACTTTTACTTAAAGGAGCTTTACTTGAGTTCACCAGTTGAGCTCGAGTAATTAACTTAGGTTATTCTAGTGTTTATTGAGTGTAGTTCAAGCCAAGCACAAAAATTTGCTCAACTATCGTTTGATTCGTTTTATGATCATACTATTATTTTTATTTTTTTTAAAAAAAAATTTAATGCTTGGTAAGAATCAAGTCCAAAAAGATAACTCCAAAATCTTATGATTTTAATGACTACTAATTCCATATCTCCTTTTTTATGTCATGACAGCACTTATATTATCAATATATTACAACAATTTGATCAGATCAAACATTAATGGGTGGATCAGATAACTCCAAAAAAATTTATTATGTTCTTTTCATGAACCATGACAGCACTTATATTATCAATATATTACAACAATTTGATCAGATCAAACATTAATGGGTGTTATTATGTTCTTTTCATGAACTTTCGCACAACTGGCATCTCACATTAATAGTTACACTTATGGCTATTTTGGATGGTAACTTTTCTCAATTTTTGCGTATAATAAAAATCCTAAAATCATACTCTCCCATGAGCACAAAGAGTAAATCAAAATGACCATCTCCAAGATTCTATTAGCCATTGTTTTCCTCATGGCCTTGACCATTCACCTCTCCCTGGCACAAAACTCCCCACAAGACTTCCTTGCCGCCCACAATACCGCCAGAGCACAAATTTGAATCAAGTCTGTCACATAGAACAACACCGTAGCTATCTATGCACAAAACTATGCCAATTTGAGGAGTGCTGATTGCAACTAAAGGCATTCAAATGGGCCATATGGTGAGAATATTGCAGAGGGTTCCGGTGAATTTACAGCGGCGGATGCAGTAAAGATGTGGGTGGAGGAGAAGAGGAAGTACAACTACAATTCCAATTCATGTGTTGATGGAGATATTGGAGAGTGTTTGCATTATACTCAAGTTGTTTGGCAATGTCAAAACAAGGTGGTTTGTCACTTGTAATTATTATTCACTAAGAAATTATGTGGGTCAAAGTCCTTACTAAAAATTCTATTGTTAATTGCTAGAGAGCCTCATATATCATAAATTATAAATTATCATGCAAAGAGATCTGTGAATATGATATAAAATATATAACTAGTATTTTCCATAAAAGTAATGGAAATAAATGTTATTTGGCTTTACGCCTAGATTACAAACAATAGATTCAAGAGCAAGCTGGGCAATGAGTTTGGCATTTCCTTTTTCTTTTGGTTAAAGGAACTGTCAAGTTTTGTTTGGATAGATAAAATTTAGAGAAAGTTAAAATAAAAAAAAAATCTAGAATTTGACGTTTGTAAATAAAAAATAAATCTTAAAATTTTAATTTTATCAATTTAAAACTTAATTTTTTGATTTATTTTCAATTTAACATGGCTCACCATTTTTTGATCGGCAAAAAGAAGACTTTATTGATGGAAAAGGAAAATTACATCAATAAAGAGGAGCTTGGAGCTAAGACAAGCTCCAACCTCCTAGTTGGTGAGAAACCAACGAGCAAACAAAACAGAGACAAAAACCAGAAAAACCAGATAGCTTAGGCACTAAATCACCAAAACCAGAACGGACAACACAGTACTCAAAAAGTCACCAATCAGATCAGGCCCTGCACCAACCCATTTGAAGCACCAAAACAGAATAGATGAAGCATATTTTCCTTGAGCTACATTGCCATGAATTACAACAGCTCAAACAAGCATACCAAACACCTTGCCTTGAATAGCTGCAGCCCTACAACCAAACCACACACCAAAATTTGAAACCAATGCTGCAACCCACTCATCTCTGTTGAGATCTAATGTAATAGCAGCCAAAACATTATTCAAGAGATTCTCCTTGGAGTATATAGCAGCAGCAGACCCATTGTGTCCATCAAATATCAGAGCCAGCATACACCTAATTACTCAATTAGAACTACAACCCCCAGCTGCCATCTGAAGCAAATATCACCATAATTCTGAATCTTCCTCCACTGCACAGTCCAGCCCAAAAGCAGAATGAAACTGCAAAATTTCCGCAAGAATCAAACTGCAGAAATTCGGAAGCAGCACAGAATTCAGAATTCAGAATAAGGGGATTTCCAGCAAATCAGCAAGTCCGCATTCACCCTCAATGCATAATGCAGAACTTGACACTTTGCAAATTTAGCACTAAATCATTCACGGAATAACAGAAAGAAGGGCTATATGCTCTGAACCACAATGCGATCTGTGTTTTAATAAGTTCACATAGCTTTTCAAAGTCCACATGTGAGTCACCAAAAGTGATTTCATTCCTCTGCTTCCATAGAGACCAAAACACAGCCAAAGGTATGATCTTCCAGAGTACCTTCAGTCTGTTTTTGCATCTAAATCCAGACCACCATTGAAACAGACCAGCCAGTGATCCCGGCTGCACCCAAGATACACCCCACCAGCCAATGATATTGGACCAAACTCGCCAGCTAAACGGACAACACAGTAGCACATGAGTGGCTGTCTCTAATTCATTCCTGCAGAATTTACAACTAACATCAGAATTAGCACTGATCGCTCCAATCCTTTGCAAATAACTAGTGGTCTTAATCCTCCCTTTCCATACTAACCATCCCAGAAATTGCACTTTCGGCAATGATATTGGACCAAACTCGCCAGCTAAACGGACAGCACAGTAGCACATGAGTGGCAGTCTCTAATTCATTCCTGCAGAATTTACAACTAACATCAGAATTAGCACTGATTGCTCCAATCCTTTGCAAATAACTAGTGGTCTTAATCCTCCCTTTTCATACTAACCACCCCAGAAATTGCACTTTCGGAGGGGTAGCATTCCTCCATATGAGATCCCCCAAATTTGCAGGCAGCGTAGGGGATAATTCACACCACTTATATATAGAGTCAACAGTGAAAATTCCAGACTTATCTGCAGTCCAAAATAACCCATCAGCCACGCCATTCCTAAGCTCTGGAGCAGTGCGCAACAGCTCCTTCAACCTCCTCAGGTCATCCAATTCCCATTGGAACAGAACTCTTCTAAAAACCAACCCCCAATCCTCATTATCAGTGCTCCTACTCTTAACCACTGCCAGTGATTCCCCTTTATGCATAGACACAGAGAATAGTTGAGGAAATAAAATTTTTAAACAGTCGCTACCAAGCCACAGATCCATCCAAAATTTTGTGAGCCTCCCATCCCCAATACTGATCCTTGAGTTAGCTTTGAAAAATTCCAGCAATTCAGGGCACTTAACAGTTACCCCCAATATATCCCTCCACACCATACACCATCTGGAATTAACCTCTTGAACTGGCCACCGAGACCCACCTAACTGTGGGTATTTGCTGAGAATTACTTGTTCCAAAGAGCAGCAGATTCACACCCAAATCTCCACCACCATTTGAGAAGAAGACATTCATTTATGGTTCTCACCTTTCTGTTGCCAAGACCCCCAGTACTTTTACTTTGGGTGATGTCCTCCCATTTTACCATGTGAATTTTCCTTCTAATTTCATCACCCCCCCAAAGAAATCTAAACTGAATCCTATCAATCTCCTTGGCTACGCCTTCAGGCATTCTAAACAAAAATAGATAAAAGACTGGTAGAGAAGATAGCACAGACTTAATCATCGTCAACCGACCAGCGAAAGACAGATACCTTCGCTTCCAAGAAGCTAGTTTTAACTTGTATTTATCAATGACAGGTTGCCAAGTCCTTTTTCTCCTAGGATTAGCACCCAATGGCATCCTAAGATACTTCAAAGGTAACCTATGATGCAAGCAGTTGAAGATGGCAGCAAAATCTTTGGTGAGCTCTTCGTTAATTCGAATCCCACACACCACACTCTTATGGTAATTAATTTTCAACCCAGACAGAATTTCAAAACACCTCAAAATTCTATTAATACTTAGCACCTCCTCCATTTTTGCCTCACAAAACAAAATTGTGTCATCAGCAAATTGTAAGTGAGTAATAATGAGCCCATTTGAACCAACTGATGCACCCTTTAACAATCCAGCCTGGACAGCTCTATGAAACAAAATGTTAAGGCCCTCAGCTACAATATTGAAGAGAAACGGGGATAGAGGGTCTCCTTGTCTAAGCCCCTTTTGGGGACTAAACTCAGCTGTAGGTGATCCATTTACTAGGATAGAGACTTTAGCAGTTGAGACACACTCCTTCATCCATTTGATCCATTTTGAGCCAAACCCAAAATTTGATAACATGGAAAAGAGAAACCCCCAATTAATTGAATCATATGCTTTCTCGAAATCAAGCTTTAGAATAATGCCTTTCTTATGCTTCTTTTTCCAACCATCAACAATCTCGTTAGCAATCAGGATGCCATCCAGAATACTTCTCCCCCCTATAAACGCAGATTGAGCTTCACTGATGATCTTTGGTAGTACTACTTTAAGTCGAGTAGATAAAACTT